GCAGCGCTGGTCCTCGTCGTAGATCGTGTCGATCCCGAGCTCGCCCGCGGTGACCTCCACGTCGAAGCACATCCAAGACCCCCAGGACGGGTCACTGAACTGGTAGAAACCATCCTGCAGGTCCACTGAGCCAGCACACAGCGAGTCGAAGCAGCCGTCGAAGTCGGCCAGGTCCTCCGCCGACGCGTCCACCGCGTCGAGGAGGTTGATAGCACCGAGAGCCTCCCCCGACGCCAAGGTGGTCCGAGGGGGAAGTCGATGAAGCTGATTGGCCTGTCGGGCGTCCACCACCATGCGGATGTCGCCATTCTTCTTCGCCACGAAGAACGTGCTGACGCAGGCCTTCCGACGACGCCTGCCGTCGACCAGGCCCCGCACGGCCATCCTGGACAAGAAGTCCACAAGCCTCGGGCGGTTGGCCTTCGTCCGAGGGTTGAGCAACGGGTCCCAGTATGGCTCGACGATCTCCTCATCCGGGGCGATGTCCGCCAGGGGCCGCACCACCTCCGAGTCAAAACTGTCGAGGGCCTCGGCCACGTGAGCAGGCGCGACGTCGCGGAGCTTAATCGGCACGGCCGATGTCCGAAAGACGTTGAGCCGCTCGGGGTCGTAGTCCCGTCGGGTCGAGCACTCGCCTGCACCGCTGTACAGGTCTTTGCACTTGAGGAGCTCCTGAAGGGCTCCAGCGCGATCCATGTCCGAGGGCTTTGAACCGAACTCTCGAACTCGTCGTCGGATCCGCCTGACCGCGGACTCCTGGGCAGTAGTCGGCGGCAACTTGCTCGGCGGCTGCAGTCGCAGCGGCCTTCCAGCCTGGGCGCAGCTGAGCGCGTTGATGGACGAGATGGCCTCGACAGTTCGCCGATCCCTGTCGTCCGAGCGGGCAGCGCGCTGGGCCAGGTACCGAGGCAAAGCGGCACGTTCCCCACGTCGGACAGCACGAAAAAGACGGCCGCCGTCAGGAAGAGGAAACAGAGAAGTCTGGCCTTCGGAGGAGACCCCCTCGGAAGACCGCCCGCGCTGCGCCTCGGGAGAGAGCGGCGCCGCGGCGGGCAAGGTGAGGCCTGGCGGAACGCCGGGCCAGGAGGGCACCGACATGGCGCCCTCAGCCGTCGGCAGGTTTGGCCCGCGGCTTCGCCTTCTCCTTTGGCGAAGCCTTCTTGGCCCGTCGCTCCCTGTCGTCCGCCCCCGCCGAGTCCGAGGACCTCGCGTACTTCTTCATCTCGTGGTCCTGCTCCTCGCGCCAGAGCCGCTCCTGCTTCAGAATGATGCCGCGATTCTTCTGCTCCTCCGCGATGAAGGCGTCGAAGCGGGACGTCACCACGCCCCCCGTCTCGTCCAGCTCGCTGCTCAGCATGAGGTCCAGGCCCTCGAAGGTCGGGTGCCTCGGGCACCGCTTCACCGCCCTCTGGATCTGGAGGGCGCGGCGAGCCAGCAGCTCGAAGCTCGCGAGGTTCGTCACATCCAGGCGATCGTACACCAGCGCGTGATGCAGCACCTCGAGGATCACCTTCAGCTCGTGCGACGGCCCGCTGAGCCTCGCCACGCCCGACTGCTCGACCCAGTACCCCCAGTACGCGGTCAGCGTGAGCCCCGACGCGTCGACCGCCTCCAAGAACTCCGGCAGCGCCTTCGGGCCCCTGAACGGCCAGGACGGGTCGTCCTGAGGCTTCAAGGCGGCGATCACCGAGCTCAGCTGGACCCGCTTGCCCTGAGCAGGCGGCGGGAGCGGCAGGATCCGAGGGTCGCGCCCCGGACCCCGCCGCTTCTCGGCCACCCAGTGCGAGTGATCCTCCGCTTGCACGTTCTCGATGGCCACCCATCCAGTCTCGTCGTCCACGAGCGCCAGCCCCACCGCGTCGCGCCCCACGAACCGGTCGGCGTTCGCGGCCAGGCCTGGCTCGACCTCGTCGCCGAAGCCCTCGACGGCGGGATCCGCGATCACCCAGCGAGCCACCCGCGCGCCGGGCGGGGCGGCTGGCACGGCGACCCCCAGCACCCGAGCGAGGTTCCGCCCCTCGATGCGCAGGTGCTCCAGCGCGTCCTGGTCCAGGTCGCCGAAGGCGTACACGCTCCCGCGGACGCGCTGCGGAAAGGGGGCGTTCCGCGTGAGCGCCACCACGAGGTGCGCCGAGAGCTGCAGCACGAGGATCTCGCCGTCCGGCGTCGCGGCCACCCACTCCCCTGGCGCATGCCCAGGGACGAGGAGCAGCCGGTGGTGCCACCGAAAGTTCTCGTCGTCGTCGAAGTTGATGCAGATCTGGCTCTCCGCGACGTCGAGCGTCCTCGGCCCCGCCGCCATCAAGCCCTGATGGCACGGAAGCGCGCCTGCCTGCCGTCACCGCGGTCGACCTCGACGACGCAGCCCGCGCCGCCGTCGCTCTGCGCGAGGAGGAGCACCGCGCGCCTCGCGAGGCGACGGACACCTCCCAGGCCCACGGCCAGCACCCACGCCAGCACGAGGCCAGCGGTCAGACCGAGCCCCAGCCCGGCCGCGAAGCCCCAGCAGGCGGCCGGGGCGGGCGAGTCGCAAGCCGCCGCCGCCGCCTCCTCGCAGGCCGCCGCTGGGCAGGCCGGGCAGGAGGCCTCTGGGCCCGCGGCCCAGCTGACCGCCGGGCAGCCGGGGCACGGCGGGCACGCCGGGCAGGAGCCGCAGTGCGGCTCGCAGCGGAGCTCCGCCGCTGGGCAGGCCGGGCAAGGCGGGCAGGGCGGCGGCCGCGCCACCCAGGCGGCCCCCAGCTGCCCCAGCCAGGGCGCCGCCGCGCAGAGGGCGGCCAGCATCCACCGCGGAGGCTGAGCCGGAGCGGATCCCCGAACGGCTTCGAGCCAACACAACACCACGGGATCAGCTTGCACAGATCAAGAGGCTCCGTTCAAGGAAAAAGAGTCGAACGACAGACTATCTCCTAGGCCATTGTTTGCTCCATCTTGGCACTGCTGGAGCTCATGCCACGGAACTCACTTAACATATCTTGTGTCCAGGATGGTGGACGATCAGCACGTGAACTCTCACGTGCACTCCGATTGCGGCTGTCGCGACCTTCGGAGTTGCTGCGATCGCGCCGATCCCGACGCGGGCGCCTCGGTGTCAAGGTCCTCCTCGACGGGCTGATGCTGCACTCCGTAACCGAGCGGACCTTCTCAGCACGACTCTAGCGAGAGTGGCCCATCGCGGCAACCAATCGAACCGACAGGAGACTGGTACAGTACACAGACAGAGAAGCAGCATGCTTGTGGTAGTCTGCTCTTCGGGGAGCTCGAAGAAGCGAGGGCTATCGAAGCGCCTGTGCCACGGGCCGCGCCTACTGCCCCCCGAATGCGGTCTCCCAACCACCTCGAGGAAACGGTTTACTTGAGCCAACATGGCTTGAGCACGGAGGAGGAGGAGGAGGAGGAGGAGGAGAAGGAGAGTGAACGCAGGATGCATCAGCGATGCTGCTGCACACCCTCCTGTCCCAAGCGCCCTCCTCCTGGGTACCTGCATGTATCTACACGTCTTCCTTTCCACTGCGGAAAGCGCCCTCCTTGAATGACGAGCGCCAGGTGGGCATGCGGCTCAGGCGAGAGCACGCTGTGCATAGGGATAGCCCTCCATCATTCTAGCTCAAAGGACGCATATTGCTAGAGAGCAAAAAGTCGACAGAAGAACCAAGTGCAACACAACTTTGGAAAGGAGCTGCCTTCCGTCCGTGCAAACGCTTCACCCCTTCAGAAGTCCTGGAAATAGAAAGCGCGTGAATCGAACGCGAGAGCCCCAGATGAGAAGGAACCACCCTCCATCCGTGCAACTGTTGCGCAACCTGACGTATCGGTCTATAGACTTGGAAGAAGTCTGCGACGAGAACCGCACTTTGACCTCTCTCCGTCCGTGTAACGGTTGACTTGTTTCAAGAGGACCGCACGCGGCGGTGCAGGCGAGAACCGAGTGCGTAACACGAGCCGGCACTACATCCATATAGCGGTTGGACACAGCTAAAACTTGTTTGATCCGCGGGTCGAGAGCGCGCCTCTTCCGGTCGACAGCTTTACTTAACAGGGGGGGAAGGCAGAGGGAGGGGCCTCACGTCAGGACACGGCTAAGACACAGTTGCGCTGAGCTGAGGCGAGAGCCGCACTTTGGAAACGACCTGCCCTCCATCTCTGCATCTGCTCAAGGAAGCTTCTCAGCTCCAGGGTAGCGCAGGTAAGAACATCTCCAGCGGACTGCACGGCCGAGCCTACTGACACGCCTGGTGGTGCGACAGGCGGGGGACCTCCATCCTCTGCTCCTCTCTCTCCCTCCCCCCTCTCCCAGTCTTCTTCTTCTTCTTCTTCTCCTCCTCCTCCTCCTTCTCCTCCTCCTCCGCTCATAAGGAAGAAGGCAGCGGAGAAGGAGAGGGGCAGGCCGCAGAGGCCACCGCGCGCGAGCAGCGGCGTGCAGAAGGGGGACGCTGCGCAGAGGCGCCTCGTTTCTGTGGCGCGCTGCTGGGAGGAGGAGGAGGAGGAGGAGGAGGAGGAGGAGGAGGAGGAGAAGAGGAGGAGGAGGAGGAGGAAAGCAGAGGGAAGTGAAACGCGAAAGCGTTCGCCAGTGAGCCACCTGTAGCCAGGAGGGGCCAGAAGTGGAGCGTTGAGCGGGCCGCTGGCAAAATGGTGCGGGGAGGAAGTGTCGAGGCTCAAGTCGGTCCGCAGGAAAAAGAGGAAAGAGAGCAACAAGAACGGCGACATGAGAAGCAGCAGCAGTAGGATCACGAAGAGAAGAAGTGTCCCTTCCCTCCTCCTTCTCCTCCTCCTCCTTCTTATCCCCATCCTCCCGCTCCTCTCGATCCTCCTCCTTCACCTCCTCCTCCTCCTCTTCCTCCTCGTCTCCGAACGACGACGGCGGCGACGACGACGACGAGGACGGCCTCCTTGCTCACTCTCCTGTTGCCCCCGCCCCCCCCCCCTTCATCGAATTCCCTCACCATGCTCCTTCATTTTCCTTCCTCCCTCCTCAACCCCTCGCCCGCCCCGGCTGTCCCGTCCTTCTCGCGGACGGTGAGCTTCTCCAGCATCTCGCTCATCGACGACATGGCGGCGACGCTGGCTCGGCGGGGGCGCGACCGGCGGCGGACAGGAACGGGCACACGAGCCTCCTCGTGCTGCCACCCGCGGAGGCCGTGGAGGAGTCGGGGGGGTTACAACAGATCATGTGATCAAAACCTGGGCCACTTTTCAAGAAGCTTCGTGAAGCAGGCCTGGGCTATCATTTCTGTTCCCGCTGGAGGGGCGAACGTGCTCAAGAAAGTGGTTCGGCTTTCAAACAAGCTGGTTCAGAAAAACATTGGCCAAGTTTGTCGGGATGGGGCTTTCCAATCAGGCACTCGACCGTATTTGAATCGGCGCTGCGACCCCAATCGATCCGAATTTGTTCAAATCCACATCTGTCAACCAGCGTTGACACCAAACAATGTGTTTGTAGTCTGGTGGTGCAGTCTATGTGATGCAATTGATTTTCCCCCATCAAAGCTTGCCTCTGTAGGGATCCTAGCGGATTCAAATGGTTTGGTGAGGTTTGCCACCGATTTCCGCCCGCCAGGGTGCCCAGGTGCCCGGGTGCATTATAGCCCTATAGCCCTATAGTCCTGTAGCCTTACAGCTTTGTGGCCCCATAGCCCTCTAGCCCACTAGCCATATAGCCTTATAGCCCTATAGACTTATAGTCTTATAGCCCTATAGCCCTAGAGCCTCCTATAGCCCAATAACCCTATAGCCCTATGACCCTATGACTCTATAGCCCCATCGCCTTCTAGCCCCATAGCCCTATAGCCCCATAGCCCTATAGCCCTATAGCCCTAGAGCCCTATGGTCCTATAGCCCAATAGTCCCATAGCCCTATTCAGACCGAATGTGCGCGTCGCTAAGGCGAGAGCTACATTTTGAAAACCACTCGCCCTCCATACATGAAGCTGTTGCCAATGTTTAAGCTTCAGAATCAAAAATGGTGAGGAAGTCTCAGGCGAAACGCACGGCCCGCCCGAAAAACTAGCCTCGGGGTGCGACAGGGAGAAATTATGTATTCCCCAATCGGAGCTTGCCTTTGTGGGACTGTCGGGATCCTAGCGGATTCATTTCCCAATCAGAGCTTGCCTCTGTAGGGGTCCTAGCGGATTCATATGGTTAAGTGAAGATTGCCACCGATTTCCGCGGCCCGCCTGGGTGCCCGGGTGCCCAGGTGCCTTCTAGCCTGATAGCCCTATAGCCCTATAGACCTATGGCCCTATAGCCTTATAGCCCTATAGCCCCATAGCCCAACAGCCCTATAGCCCCATAGCATAGCCCTATAGCCCTATAGCCTTGTAGCCCTGTCGTCCTAGAGCCCTATAACTCGACCTATACGACCACCCTTCGGGTAATAAAGGGGTTGTGGGGGGGGGAGAGGGGGGAGAACAAACATCTGACTCAATCGATCTCACTATCGATCTCGCTCAACGGGACACCACGGGACACCACGAGACACCACGGGACACCACGGGACACTTGTCGATCTCACTATCGATTTCATTATCGATCTCACTCAACGGGACACCACGGGACACAACGGGCCACCGCGGGACACCACGGGACACCGCGGGACACCCCTCGATTTCACTATCGGTCTCACTATCGATCTCACTATCGATCTCACTCCACGGGACACCATAGGCCCATAGGACACCACGGGACACCACGGGACACCTCGGGGCACCACATCGATCTCACTATCGATCTCACCATCGATCTCACTCAACGGGACACCACGGGACACCACGGGATACCTGTCGATCTCACTATCGATCTCACCATCGATCTCACTTTTTGGGACACCACGGGAAACCACGGGACACCTCGAGGCACCACATCGATCTCAGTATTGATCTCACTATCGATCTCACTATCGATCCCACTCAACGGGACACCACGGGACACCACGGGACACCTGTCGATCTCACTATCGATCTCACTATCGATCTCACTTTTTGGGACACCACGGGACACCTCGGGGCACCACATCGATCTCAATATCGATCTCAGTGTCGATCTCACTATCGATCCCACTCAACGGGACACCACGGGAAACCACGGGACACCGGCGGGACACCGGCGGGACACCGCGCGGCACCGGCCGCCGGAGGAGAAACATTTGGTCCGGCCGCGGCCCAGCCACAGGAGGATTTCGGGACACCAGCAAGACACTGGCGAGACACCGCGCGGCACCGCCGCCGGAGGAGCAACATTTGGTCTGGCCGCGGCCCAGCCACAGGAGGATCTCCTCTCGCCCGCCCACGCAGCTTCGCCTCGCCCGCACGCACGCACGGCACGCCCGACACGAACCCGAAACCGAAATCGATTCCCGGTAGGGGGGGTCTCTGTTTCACGTCGGACTCACCCCCAACCTCCGATAGCCCTATGGTCCTATAGCCCTATAGCCCTGTGGCCTTATAGCCCTATAGCCCTGTAGCCTTATAGCCCTATAGCCCTAAAGCCCCATTGCCCTATAGCCCTATAGCCCTGTAGCACAATAGCCCAATAGCCCAAGAGCCCTACAGCCCTATATCCCTATAGCCCTGTAGCCTAATAGCCTTCTAGCCCTATAGCCTTATAGCCCTATAGCTCTATCTGGCTGTAGCCTATAGCCCTATAGCCCCATAACCCGATAGCCCGATAGTCCTATGGTCCTGTAGCCCTATAGCCCATAGCCCTATAGAATCATAGCCTGGTGGCCCTATAGACCCATAGCCCCATAGTCTCAGAGCCCCATAGCCCTATAGCCCTTCAGCCTTATAGCCCTATGGCCCTATAACCCTATAGCCCTACAGCCCTATAGACCTATAGACCTATGGCCCTAGAGCCCTATAATTCTATAGCCCTATAGCCCCATTGCCCCATCGCCTTACAGCCCGATAACCCGATAGCCCTATAGCCCTGTGGCCCTATAGTTCCATCGCCCTGTAGCCTTATAGCCCTGTGGCCCCATAGCCCTATAGCCCTATAGCCATATATCCCTATAGCCCAATAGCCCTATATCCCTATAGCCCTATAGCCCTGTAGCCTGATAGCCTTCTAGCCCCATAGCCCTATAGCCCTATATGACTGTAGCCTATAGCCCTATAGCCCCATAACCCTATAGCCCTATGGTCCTGTAGCCCTATACACCATAACCCTATAGAGTCATAGCCTGGTGGCCCTATAGCCCCATAGCCCCAAGGCCCTACAGCCTTATAGCCCTATGGCCCCCTATGGCCCTATAGCCCTATAGATCTATAGCCCTATGGCCCTAGAGCCCTTTTAATTCTATAGCCCTATAGCCCCATAGCCCCATCGCCCTATGGCCCAATAGCCCCAAAAAGACTTTGATTGGGTTTTCTCCGGTATCATGTACAAGCGAAGTGACACATTCCACGTTTTTGCAAACATCTCACCCACCCACCCGAAATCTGGTTTGCAAAACCCATGCGGCGGCGCTGGCAACAATGAATGATTGGCATTGGCTGGTGCATCCCTGCAGCCGCGCTAACCAACGCATGCTCGGGCGCGCAGCGGCGCACTACTCTGGCGCGACCATCGCGTGCGCGGTGGCGCGGACCTGTGGGCACTTCCCAGCGAGCACTTCAGTGCGAGTCGGCCAATTGGGCGGGCGCGGTGTCACTGCAACGTCGGCAACGGTAGGCGTGACGATGATAGTAGCGACGTCGGTGACGATGATGACAACGGCAACGGCACGGCCAATGACGTCGCCGGTGCTGATCACGCCGACGACGATGACACCGTCCTCGCGTCAGTGATGAAGGTTTTGGAAGGCCGACAAGCGAGAACGGCCCGCATGGCATTGTTTGTTACGGATCGTGCCCGCCAGCCCGCGCGCAACGGCATTCGAATGATGTCGACATGCGGCGTGAAAAGGTCCGTTTGGCAGATTTTCATGAATTAATGATGAACCTATGGATTTGTTTGAAGAATTCGCAAGATCGCGAGCGCAGCTTTGTTCCCCAAAACTGGCGTTACAAAACCATGTGTTTTGAACATGTTCAAGGCACTCGATTGTGACATTCTTCCGAAACCGAAGGTGTTTGAATGATTTCGGCATGCGCGCGCGACGACCCGCGCACGCGCACTTCGTTCGACCGGTTGCAAGGGATTCTTGCGACAGAACGCGCGCAAGGGCGTTCGAACGATTTCGACACACGCGGTACCATTCTAAGAAGATGTGTGATAAACCGACGCTTGTCTTTAGAATGCGCAAGAGCGCGAACTCCATATTTTTGCAGGAAAGCATTGTTGCGAATCCTCTGTTTTTGTCTTTTTTATTAGGTTAAGAAATGTTTCCTGGGCGCTCGATGTTCGAATCCTTTCGAAACCAAAGAAATGTCGAAGGATATTGACATGCGCGCGCGACGACCCGCGCTCGTGCACCACGTCCAATTTGCTGCTAAGGATTATCGAAAACGTTTGAACTTTGGTAAACGAGCGCGGGCGTGCCATTATTAGCCAGTGGGCGGGGGGGGGCGTTGCTGGCCTGGCCGGGGCGACGTGAATTTCAGCTGCGGCTGGGCCATGGGGCGGCATCAAGTTTACAGTGCAATACAAACAAATGAACGGTTGAATCGAAAGGGGGAGGGGGGTCCGTAGATCCTAGTACTTTTTTTACAAAACAAAAAAAAAAAAAAAAAAAAAAAAAACGAGAATTAACCCTGCCGAACTTCAGGTTGTCAAGTCCACGCCTCGCGCGCTCATCCCAGCTGCCCGCCCGCGCCTTGTTTTACAGCGCCAATGCGGAGGCGACGACGCGCTAGCCCGCGCGTGCTCGCGCGCGCAGCGGCCGGCCAACTTGGCGCGGCCGACGCGGCCGCCAGGCACTTCCCAGCGGGCACTTCGGTGCGAGTCGGCGACTTGGGCGGGCGAGCTACCATGGCAACGTCGACAACGGCAGACGCGGCGATGGCCGCAGCGACGCTGGCGTCGACGATGACAACGACGACGGCAAGGCCAGTGACTGCGCCGATGCTGATCGCGCCGACGACGGTGACATCTTCCTCGCGTCGCTGATGAAGGTCCTGGAAGGAGCTCGACACGCGCGCGCGGCCGACGCGCGCAATGGTTATTGGAACGGGGGGTGGCGATGCC